GGCAAATATCGTAAATGACTAATATATCAGCATATATTTAAATAATAAATCAAAAGTACAATTTAATTACTATGTTTAAATAATCAGTTAACTAGGCTTCGGACTATTTGAAATTATAATACCTAACACTTGATTTGTGTAAAATGCCACTGGCTGCAGTTTTGGTATTTCAAATAAAGACTATTTGTTCACAGTTGTAGAACTAATTTCAGAAATAACGTTTTCATTTTCAACAAAAAATTTCTCGCTAATTATACTAGTCACTGCTGTGATTAATGAGTAAATAAATGAATATATGCTGTAACTAAAACTGTTATGAATACTTCCCCAACTTCTCAACCGTTGAAAAAGCTGAAAACTGACTTAATACTTCACCGATTCCCATGTTTATGATGTATTAATGTGTTTAGACATTTGACAAAGCCTCACAATCATTAAGATTCTAGGTATTCTAAGACCAGATCCAAAACAACATTTGTTAGGTCCCCTTTTCACAATGACACACTATTTTAATGAAAGGATAATTATTACATTTAAAACATCTTTGTGACTTGAAGCATTTTAAAGATTTTATTTATTTTATTTGTGAAATGGCATAAATATTTTTTATCACTTTACAATGTTAATTTTTCTACTGCTAAATCAAGAATGACCTCAATTAATTGTTATTGCGATTCACATTCAATAGAAAAATTGTCAAGATGATTTAATTTATTGTTACGATAGCGGAAGTCACGTGACGCTGGGAACACGTGATGAATTTTTCGAATGATCATGAATTATCAAGGAAGAACGAGTTTGTTCGGGACGCCCTCTTTTTTAATATATATGCCTGGCACAGAAAGCCTGGGGATGAATGAAGAGAGTTCTGGGTAATTTGCGATTCTGTTTCGAGCTTGTGTGTGTGTGTTTTCGAGACTGTGAATCGCTGTGATTTATGTGTGAAAGATGGACCAGTATAATTATGATACTGAATACAGAGAAAGAAAATCTCATGGAAATGCCGACGGACTGAACCGAAGGTTCAACCAACCAGGTGCCATCAAGCTGAAGTCAAAGTGACTGAAGGAGTTGATGATGGTGAAGTGGTACCAGGTATAGATATTAAAGCAGAACAGGAGAAAGACCAAGATTTGATAACAATAACTGATTTTCTACAAGCAAGTGTGTTGCACCCTGCTTGGGAGAAGGTGTGTAGCTTAAGCCCTGTGACAAAGAACTATTGGGCACAATGGGACCAGTTGAAGCTTGAAGATGGTATTCTTGTCCAGAGATGAAAAACTGCAGATGGGAAAGTGACGACCTGGCAAACGGTTATACCGAGAAAGTTACGAGAAGTTGTGTTGCGTCAATCCCATGATAGTTTAACAGAAGGACATCTTGAAGTTAAGAAAACATTGAGTCACCTACGACACAGATTTTACTGGATAGGTATGAGACAAGATGTGGAAGAATGGTGCAGGACCTGCAGTACACGTTGTGCTAAAAGGGGACCCAAGCATAAGGGACGTGCTCCAATGAAGTTATATCAAGTTGGTGCACCAATGGAAAGAGTAGCCATTAACATTGCTGGTCCTTTGCCCCAAACTCGTGCTGGAAACAGGTACATTTGTGTGGTGATGGATTATTTCACCAAGTGGACTGAGGCATATGGAATACAAATCA